CTCTGATGCTTATGATGAAAACCAAGCTCACACTAAACCTAGCTCATACACCACTGCTTGGCCTCAGAGTTACAGGTTTGACTTCTCTTTTGTTTCCACTCTTTATGTCGTAGTTTAGTGATTATGTTTCATTTGGCTAATATTGGTCCATTCTTGATTGATTTTGGAACAAAAAATTTCACACTTTAAGAGTTGGTTTTGTGTTTCTTGATAATGTTGTAGGCAGTCGATTGATCTTTACAGTAGTGTACCGTCTCCCGGTATCGGTTTTCTTGGAAACAATTCGATGACGAGATTCGGAAGCTCTTTCTTGTCTTCTTCTCTTATAAGAAGACATACTCCGGAATCATTACCTGCTGTTACAAAACCTTTGTTAGAAACACAAGCAGATGAACAGGCACCACCAAAACATAGACTTAGCTCTCATGGCTTGCTTTCTCCAATTCCTTCGAGGAGGCATTCGATGCGGAAGGATGAGAAATCATCCATGGTGTCTCATGAGATTCCAATGTCTCGCAATAGTTCATACGGACAAGCTGTACTAAATGGTGAGTTCATCTTTAAAATATTAGTGTCTTCTCTTCGTTAAAAAGTGGTTAAAAAGTTTAAGAGATTCTCGGATGCTTGGCTTGATGAGAGTAGTAAGTAGTAACCATGGTAGAGCAAATTGAGCTTTTCTCTTGAACCATAGAGCTGCAAGATTGATTGCAATTGTGCCTTCACCGTTACAAATCCTAATGAAAAGATGTCAAAATTTTCTCTGTTGTTTGATCGTCATTATAGGAATCTAGATTTTGTGTGTAAGAGGGCCTAAGACCGTCTTCTTCGGTGTTTAAAGACATATGTCTTTATAAATTAAGAGAATAGTACAAAATAACAATCAACTTTGTTTGTCCTATAGCACATGGAGCACATGTTAGACCAAACACGTCTATGTTCAAAGAACATGATTGACATCTTTTGCTCTTAGTAAATTAATGATTATCTTCTATAACATGTGGGTCATGTGCAGGATTGAACGTTTTATGTGGGGTTGGAATACTTTCAACGCCTTATGCTGCAAAAGAAGGAGGATGGTTAGGACTTATGATACTATTTGTATATGGTCTTCTTTCTTTCTACACCGGAATCCTCCTTCGTTACTGCCTAGACAGTGAGTCTGACCTCGAAACCTATCCCGACATTGGCCAAGCTGCGTTTGGTACTACTGGACGTATCTTTGTCTCGGTAAGACGATAAATTTTCCGTAAAATCCTCCTCTATAATGAAGGTGATATAAAGTTAAGGACGAAATAGACAAAAAGAAAACTCAATGAATTATATACAAGATCCCACACAAAAAGAGAAATACCTTTTGGCCTAGGATCAAATAGAACAACAACTCAAAAGCCAAGGACAAAAAGTTATCACTTTTGTTTCAAGTATGAAGCTTTATCTGAAACTTTATGGAGAAATTACTATTAACCCTTTGTTGATGCAATTAGATTGTTATCAGAAGTAGTAGAGCTTTACCAGTTACCCACTTTTAATAGTGGATTTTGATACCATTTTCTTCATTTTATATTAATTTCTTCCTATTTTTTTAATGCATTGCAGATTGTACTCTACTTGGAGCTATACGTAAGTACTTCTGGGATTCGTCCATCACTTGACTTTAATTCATATTTTTATAAAAATAGAAATCCCATGACTCTTTTTGTCAAGAAAAGCACATAACTAAAGAGATTCCAAGTTGTGTTTTTAAAAAACAACAAAAGAGATCTTAAGTATGTGACCCCATGTTGTGAAACACGTTAGCTGAGGGTCCCATACATTCTGCCACTAGTTCTAGATTTGGCACTACCTGAAGCTGCTTTAAACTTTTTCTCTTTGTTTCGATTTGTTCCTTCTTAAAGCTGCTTTTGACGTCACTAAAGCAGCAAAAATACTATATTTTTAGATGGAAATGATCCCCAAAAAGCTTCTTAAAAGTTACTAGTGTGAAATGATTAGTTTGATAGTGACTATATAGTAGATACTAGATAATATTGATACATTTTCATACTTGACATGATTGTATTCATATTTGCAGGCTTGCTGTGTGGAATATATAATATTGGAGAGTGATAATTTGTCTTCATTATATCCAAATGCTGCCTTAAGTATTGGAGGGTTTCAGTTAGATGCCCGCCATCTATTTGCATTGCTAACCACTCTCGCGGTTCTCCCCACCGTTTGGCTCAGAGATCTCAGTGTACTGAGTTATATCTCAGCTGGAGGGGTGATTGCATCGGTGCTAGTGGTTTTGTGTTTGTTTTGGATTGGTTTGGTAGATGAAGTTGGAATTCACAGCAAAGGAACTACACTAAACTTGTCAACTTTACCTGTAGCTATAGGACTATATGGTTACTGCTACTCAGGACATGCTGTTTTTCCCAACATTTATACTTCTATGGCCAAACCATCTCAATACCCTGCTGTTCTCTTGACATGGTAAGCTTATGTCGCTTTCAACAAGTTCTTATCTTCTAGACCGCTTCGACTTTTGCCTATGCAAACTTCAAGAAAATATGCAACCATTTTGATAGATGAAAGATTGATAATATTGTGCAGTTTTGGTATTTGTACTCTGATGTATGCCGGCGTCGCTGTTATGGGTTATACGATGTTTGGAGAATCAACACAATCACAGTTTACTCTCAACTTGCCTCAAGATTTGGTTGCTACTAAGATTGCCGTGTGGACTACGGTAAGTGGATCAAATATGTTTTCTTTCCACTATGTATTAGTTCTTGCATGTTGGTTATCACATTGGAACTAAAACCGTTTTGTTTTAAACCGTTTCACAGGTGGTCAATCCATTTACCAAATATGCTTTGACCATTTCTCCAGTAGCAATGAGTCTTGAGGAGTTGATACCATCAAGGCATATAAGGTCACATTGGTACGCCATCGGCATTAGAACCGCATTGGTCTTCTCTACGCTGCTTGTTGGTCTTGCAATTCCCTTCTTTGGTAAGATCCTCTTTACCATTTTGATCCAAAAGCTCATTTTCTTGAAAATCATACTTTATACTCAAAAATCTTGCAGGTCTTGTCATGTCATTGATTGGATCGTTGTTGACTATGCTCGTCGTAAGCTATCTTTTCCTTCAAATTCTGGTTTGTCTACAAATGAGGATCTTAAGTTTGGATATATATAAGTTCATATTTTGTTTTGTGCAGACTCTAATACTTCCTCCAGCGTGTTTCTTGAGCATCGTACGGAGAAAAGTTACCCCGACCCAGGTAAATCTTCTTAGCAATTCTGTATTTATACTAGTTTCCCACAAAAACATTGTTTCTAGTGTTTTAAGAAGATTCATCAACAATGTTTTGGTTGGTTTTTTGTAGATGATGTTGTGTGTATTAATCATCATAGTAGGAGCAATATCTTCAGTCATTGGCTCATATTCAGCTCTCTCCAAGATCGTTGAGAAATTGAGCAGCTGAAAATATTTCTCTGTTTTTTCTTACAAACTCTTATACCCATTTTGTCTTCAGGGGAATACCTTTTTTTTTTTTTTTCTTTTTCTGTTTTGTCTTATGTTTTCGTATAGCAATTCATTCTTGCATTCAAAGCTTTTGTAATATCCTGAGTGATGATCTGCATCTTAAAACTGGTTTGAAAGTTGATTAATAAAAGATCGGTCATAAACTGATTCTTGTAAGGTACAGTATTTTGCCTTAGCCTTCAAAATCCAAATCCAAATCTTTCTCTACAATCCCTTCGTCCCTAAACCCGAAACGATTCCTTCTACTCTTCAGAATCAACTCTGAATTCTTCATCAACTGGATGTATTTCTTCCTTACAGCTAACACAGGATGTGTTTCTACACTGGCTTTATCTCTATAAGGCTCTCTTAGAATAGCTGTACAAGTTTTGTTCTTCATAGACAAGTAAAAAATCTGCGGATGTCTCTCAAACGCCTTATGAACCTTTTGCGGCAATCCGAAATGCTTCTTGAGACATAACAAGTTCTTCCTCTCTGCGGAATGCTCGACGAAAAGACAAAGCAATTCATGAAGAAACCCAACAACTCTCTTCTCTGCTACATCACTACTTGGATCCAAACATGAATAATCATCATATGGTGATACATAAGGAAGCTTTTGAAACTCTTTTAACCAATCTTCAATTTTGACTCTCAATCTACAACCTTTTGATGGAAACAGAGGAAACTCAATCTCTTCTAAATCCAATTCTCCTCTTCTTCCTCTCTTCTTCATTGCATTCTTCTGCAACACAGACAAAACCTTATCTCCATTATAGTCTACTGCTAAACCTTTAACTCCATCTTCCATATCCACAAACCTAAACGAAGAATCTAAATTCATCTCTGGAAATTGCAAGTAATCATCAGGTAAACCTAAATACCATTTCATTCCTTGAACTATACTTAATGGCAAAACATTATCTTTACTCATCAGAATCAATTTCTTCAACCTATCCCGCAAATCCTCTGCGTAAGTTTCGTATACGATTCTCTCTTGCTTATCGAGCTCTGTAGCTTCTGGTGTCAATCTAAACCATGGGAGATTATACTCTGGACCAACGAACTCCTCGAAGATTGAAGGAAATTTCCTTAAAAACTGAGCGATTTTTGTTGATACATCGAATTGACGCGTCTTCTTGGAGATGGCAGATATCGGAATGCAGCGATTAGGATCCTGGACGATACAGTTCTTGAGACCGATGACGGATTTGAGCTGAGATGATCGGAGAATGTGTTCGATGTTGTCGAAATAAGGATCTCTCTTCCATTTCATGTAAACGTCGACGTAGGTTCGTTTCTGAGTAAGGTTGGTGCAGGAGGAAGCTAGGGTTTTGGCATGGCGGCGAATATAGAGCATTGTGGAACAAATCGGAAAACCCTAAAACCCCAATTATCGGAGGTGGATTGTGGCGGAGCTTTAATCGGAAACATAAAAATCAGAGAAGGCAGTGATATTGTTACTTTTAAACAGTAAACGACACGGTGTTTATTGTGGGAGAACTGCATGCCGTTTTATTCATAGCAAAACGACAATGATACTACGCTTCCTCTTTTCCATAACACAAGCGGTGGTGATTAGTTTGTTTTCTCAAAAAATCAAGTAGAAGTAACAAGTTTAGGAGACCAAGTGGGTAAATTGGGACAACCATTTTCTCCGATCAAAAGTTCAACAAATCTTCTTTTAACTCTCTCTCTTCTTGAGGCCTCGAATGCAGCTTTAGGTGTCAAGCTCTTCATCAATGGCAGTCCTGAAGGAGCATCATCTGATGTTTCCACTATCCTTTCTAACATCTCTGAAACCTGACTCATTGTTGGCCTAGCCTTCGCCTTCACCATCAAACACCGGTTAGCAACTGCAGCTAGCTTCAATGCTGATTTGAGGTAGTAGTTTCCTTCAAGTCTTGGGTCGATGATCATCTTGAACTTCTTTATGTCGGACAAGTGTGGTCTGATCCACTCCAGGATATTCTGCTCGTTTCTTGGGCGGTTACGGTCAAAAGGTCGTCTTCCTGTGATGAGTTCATATAGAAAGATTCCGTAGCTCCACACGTCACTCTTGGCAGTGAGGTGTCCTGTTTGGATATATTCCGGTGCTGCATAACCAATGGTCCCTACAACCTGTGGATTCATAGTTTGGTTATTGCCTACCAATCAAACATTAAGACTTCAATTGTTTCAAACAATCAATGGAGACATAACAAGTCACGTGTGGCGTACCGCAGTGGAGACATGAGTGATTCCATCAGAAGGACCCATTCGAGCCAGTCCGAAATCCGAGAGCTTTGCATTCCAATTCTCATCAAGAAGAATATTGGAGGATTTGAAATCCCTAAAGATGATCTGCATATAAGATGAATACATATCAATAACACATTCAAAAAAGTTGACAGGCATTTGTGATCATGGATAGAGAAGGCACACCTGAAACTCCATGCCTTCATGAAGATAAGCAAGTCCTCGAGCAGTGTCCTGAGCAATCTTTAATCTGGTGGACCAAGGGAGAGGAGTGACAATAAAACGATTGGATAAATGGTCTTGAACACTTCTGTTTGGTACGTATTCGTAAACAAGTAGCCTTTGGATCCCTCTCTCATCATCCTCAGCGCAATAACCGATCAGCTTCACCAGATTCGGATGCTCCACTACTCCCAGTACATTTACCTCTGTCACCCATTCTTTATGACCCTGTTAATACATTCATATGTAATTATGTTGTTAGATTATTGAAGGCTCTGTGCAAATCAGAACCGAACCAAAGAAAAAGCCAAAGTAAGAATAAAGAAAGATTTGCTTGCCTGGAGACCTCTTCTACTGAGTTGTTTAACTGCAATTTCAATCTTCTTACGAGAATCTTGAGGGTTCTGAATCACGCCACGAAAGACACCGCCAAAGCCACCTTCACCGATCATCAATGAGCGGCTGAAATTTTTGGTAGCAGTTTTAAGGTCATCGAGGGCAAAGACTTTGAGATTGTTACTGTGTGTCTCTGAGAGAACGTGCAAGGAAGAAGTAATGGAAGTAGCAGTACTTGTATCAGAGTTAAATTCAGACCCTGATCCTCCTCTAGCCATCGTAATGGAACCAAACTTTCTCGTCTTAGCTTCATCATCCTGAGTTTTGTCTTTGCTGAAGTAGAAACATTTCATTGCTTTAGACGAAACCAGCCTCCTCACTGCCCACATTCCATGTCAACAACACAAACAGAAACACAATCAGACAAAATTTAACAGAGATAATCACTAATCATTCAATCCACACCAGATATCAAGTTATCAACACAAAATCATCACATTTCAATCAAGAATCCTTATATTCGAAGATTTTTGCAAGAATGTGTAACAAAAACCGATATATAACACAAAAGTAGAAATGTGGTAAGAGTGTTGAAAATCAGAAAGGGAAAGAGAAGAAACCTGATGTAGAATTATTCATGAGGATGACTGAAATGTTGTGATGGGGATCTTCATGTTCATGATTGAGAGAGCTTTAAAGCAAAAGAAAATGGCAGAGAAAGAGATAAGAGGAGAAGAGAGAAGACGAGCTCACCATGATCGAATGGGGGAAGTCAAATAGACAAATGGCAGCTGGATTGCCGCTTACCAACCTATAGAAGAAGCCTTTTTATTTTATTTTATTCTGTGTTACACCCGCTTGCTTACTTATATGATATCAATCAAATACCTTAATAGAGAACGCGTTATTTATTAATTTTTTTTCCATTTGTATTCATATCATTATTTCACCATTTAATCTATAGCCTTAGCCTTTAAGGTACGGTTTCAAATAGAAACTCAAATGAATTTTCCTCTTCTTGAACTTCTATAGAAGCTTCGTGTAATTTATGTAAAATTATGTTTAGTTTTAATTAAAAAATTGACAGTCAATGCTATTACACAATATTTAATGTCGCTGAAATAGGTGGTACTCGAAACGTAAGAAAAATTGATGAGGTGAGGAAAAGCGTTGGAAGGAAAATTTGGGGGTGAGAATTTTTGGCGTAGAAGAGACGTACATTATGGAAGTAGAGAGACTAAGTGTCAGCTATTTGAGAAATCACCTATAGCTATCTCAAAACTAACCCCACACCTAAACTTGCATCATCTCAACATTTTCCTCCTACCTACTCTCTAACTCTTGATTTGTGTCTTACCTGGTCCACTCTTTCCACTATTGAACTTCCAAGAGACTAACAGTCGTGTTGTAAGTCTGTCTATTTGCTTCATTTGGCGAGAGCATAGTGCTCGGTTATCTGCAAGTGAATACAAGATAAGGAAAATTAATATGACTTCAGAAAAAGAACCAACAAAGCAAACAGATTTCTACCTAATGAAACCAAACCCACATAGTACATATCCTAATTCGGTTTTTATACAAATAGAGTTAACCTCCCAAGAATTTACAGAGTTAACCTTTGTAGAATTTTCTTTACCTGTTTTTTACTGCTAGTACGCCACCTCATTGTATTCAACCACTGCATCATACGTCTCCATCGTGAGAATACTCTCCGCGAAACATCTGAAATATGTTTTCGTTCTCATCAGAAACAGTCAATGACCAAAAAACCTAAACCAAACATATCAGCTGAGCTCTATCATCTGTTCAAACTTACAAGTCACTAGGTTTAGGTTGCCTATGTGTTTGTGTACTACTATACTAAACCTGTAACTACTTGAAACTCTGAAAAATACCGAGTGTACAAAAATCATACCTTAGTTCATGCCAAAATATATCCACCTTATCAGACAAGAATATTCGGAGAGAGGAGACTTCGTCTTCCACCAACATCCCGGTCTGCCCGGAATGTCGATTATTCTCTCTCTCAAGCCTTTTGATGAAAAGAGCTGACGCAAAATGAACAATAATTGATGGATCAGGATCTCCAAGGACTGCCTGAAGCTCTCTTCTAATCCATGGCTCAATTCTTTCAGTTATCTTTGCTCTTGTCTGATCATTCCCCGCCAAACACTACAACGAAGCAGGAATATATAAGGCTTCCAATGTGCATATATCCAATAATCTAAGAGTGTAAACTACAATACTACAAACATAAAACATAGAATAACACATTGCATAATGAAACTTACTAGTTCCAAGCTTCGCCTCGAATGTAATCGAACAGCTCGTAATTGCTTATCGTATATGCTGCATTTAGAGCCAACACTAGTTAGAAACAATGGAGAACTAATCTAACACTTCGAAAAAGGAGATTGAAACTGAATCTATAGAGTTAGAAACAATAGTAAACCAACCTAGCTCGCCACTGAAGCTTTCGCTGGAAGATGATAGAATCAGGAACTGAACCAGGCCGTCCAAATGATCTCCGCCATGGCAATGGCCTTGATCTTGAGCTAGAGTTTTCCAAAACATCCCTCCACCTTCGAATTATCCTAATAAAGTGATAAGCAAGTGAATATAATAAAGAAGTAATTTATAACTTCATAGAGAGGATCTTAGAGAGAGGGATAACCTCCGGCGACCGGAAGGATTATTCCGATGATAAGTTAAAGTCTCACGATCACGAAGAATCGGTAAATGCTCCTTGTGGTATTTTCTAGAAGCAAAATCACTGACGATAAACCAGGAATTAAAACGAGTGTTGCAGCCTATATGGTCTCCACTTCCGAATACAAGCAAGGCAGTATCCGTGCTTACATACTGTAATAACGGCGGCGGATCGTCGCTCGGTTAGATTTTCGAGGCATATCAGACACGATTTCTCCCGTAAAGCAGTTAAGATTACTCTCTCAGCAAATTTCTCGCCGCGTTTCATCAGAAAATACCTTCCGGCGATCGAAGAAGTCGCCGTTGAAGACGGTGATGGAGGCTCCAGATATTTGTTCGGTTAAGACGGCTCTTGGAAAAATCGGATTTTAATGAACCGAGATGGATTTCAGATGATAACCGGTTAGTTTCGGTTCGAGATTTCTTGTTTTAAAATGAAGAGCGAGCGTGAAGGATCTTTTACTTCATCGCTGCTCCGAAGAAAAAACTCCACCATTGCCACTAACCACGAACTCTCTTTGTCTCTCAAATGGAGGTTCCAAAGGATCAGATCGCGAATCTTATAGAGCATGGGCTCTACGATTCTGCTGAAATGCTTGTAACTTCTCTATCTTTTAACTCATTTTGATTCTCTCTTTTTCTAAATCCCTAGTTTTTAGCAAGAACTGATGAAATTATCTCTATATATGCAACTAAATCCAGGGCTGCTTTCTCGTTTCTTCTTCTACTGTTAGCGCCGAAACTAGTCCTCAGCTCAAGGCGGAGAATTTGGTTAAGCTTCTTTCTCCCGTCGATGTTTTCTATTTTAGTAGCTGAGTCTGTTAATTTGAAGTTAGATTCTTTCTGAGTTGTTTTCTTAGATTCTACTGGGCGATGCTTTATTTCATCAGAGAGAACACCGGAGAGCTATTGTAAGTTCTTGAAAGTTTAATTCTTTATGTTTCTCTTTTGCTGAGAAAGAACTGTTACTCAGTTCTCGAAAGTTTAGTTGTGTCTCAAATTTAGAACTTTATGGATCTTAACTACGACTGAACTATATGAAATCCAAATTATGTAACTTTATGAAGGAGCAAAGATAAAATTTTAGATTTGTATTGCTTATTCTTCTCCTCTGAAGTTCTATGGTGGAGAGGTATGAAGTCATGTCGAAATTCTGAATTTGTATTCCTTCTTTTTGTCAGCATACGTACAAGCAAGCGTTGCATCATTACACAAGGATTCCGAAGCAAAGCTCCGGTATTTCGAGGAGTTCATTATCTTTATCTACAAGATCATCTGTGAATGCCTCTAGCATTTCTGCTATTAATGAGAACGAGGTAAATTAATGTGTTGTTTCTTCTTGATCCTTTTGGTTTCCAGAAAATGATGTGCTTTGGTTTAATTTCATGGGATTTTATGTGTGTCTTCTTTTTCTAACTTTCCTCTTAGGTGAGATTCAAGATTGCTTCATCTCACTTTGCTCTTAATGAAACAAAAGCTGCGATTGCTGAGGTATGAGTGCTATCTGTTTGTCTGGTTATCAAGATTTATTTTGTCTTCTGGATTTGTTGGTCCACAAACATTGGTATATAGAAAATAAAATATGTGTATGAGACGGAAAAAGAGCTGTCGAGGGGTTTCTCTACTTCTAAGATTATAGATTGGTTTTCTATAGGATGACTTGTGTAGATCTTGCTGTTCTATATTATAACCAGAGTTCAATAACTGTAATTTTATTCAGTGAAACATTTTTGGCCGTAATTAATGCATTGTTTTGGTATTCCTGAATGTGAGATGAATTGCATTGCGTTGACCTGCTCCCATCAATACAAATCCATATTACAAAACAAGTGAACTAATTGGATTCTTTCCTTCCAACACTGCATGTAGGTATTAAGGGATGATAAGCCATGGTTTGCTTAACTATAATCTATTTTTGCACTTGTTCTTTCTTTGCCAGATGGAATCTGTCAAGACCAGGAGCTTAGAGATGAATATACTGATGGCAAAGCTTCATCGAAATTCTGGATACAACCGTGGTGCTATTGCTTTTTATAAAGAGTGTTTAAGGTCTGTTTTTTCATTTTCTTTCCCTACATTTCCTAGCATATAAACACTATTATAAAATCTTACTTTTTTACATTAAATACCAATTCAACACATAGTACACATATATATAATCTTTATTCTCTGCAGGCAGTGTCCTTATGTACTCGAAGCCGTCATAGGTTTAGCTGAACTGGGAGTCAGTGCAAAGGATATCATATCATCTTTTACCCAGGTGCCCCTTTCTACGAGATTTCTTTTACCACTTGCTTTTATTTTTCACCACTTCTTTAAATGTGTTTTGCACCTCTTTCTCCCCATTTTGCAGTTACCCTTTCCATGTAAAATCCATACTACTTTGTAATTTGTTGTGTCGTTTGTTCATTTTAGACTTCAAATAGAAGTGCAAAGGTTTCGCTCGATCAGATAGATCCTACCCGTTGGTTGCAAGTAAGCCTACTCTTTAACAGTATTTACAACATTGAAAACTGTTTGAAAGTACACTCATTAATTATGCGGCCAAGCTGAATATTGTGAGTGAGTTAGTGTCTTATTTTATCTATTATGTTCCCCCGAATACGACTATATATAATGGTTTTAAGAACTTTTTCATAAATCCGATGAACTATACATTTTATACATAGGGAGAAGCTGTTCATGAGTGGAAAGTGAATCAAATCGTCTTGATAGTATTCCCTCTAACAAACTAGTGCTTTTATGTTCTTGTGTTAGCATCAGCTCGACTTTTCTTGGATGGCTGTTTCATTGGTTTCGTGTTGTAGCATATCTGGCAATAAAATTTATTTTCTTCTTTGTCTTTTTTGGTAATTTTTCTTCGTTTTCACAGCGTTATGTAGAGGCCCAGTGTTGTGTCGCTTCGCATGCTTACAAAGGTAGCTCTCTTTTTCTTTGTGGGATGCCTATGCCTACAATAGATGAAATAAGACTTTTAGTTCTCTTTGTCTAACCCTGTAGATTTCAGTTCTTGCATTTTTTTGCGGAGATTCTACAATCTGATGCCTTACTGGATAGGGTGTAATGTTTTTTTGTTTACTCAGGGGCGCTGGAACTCTTTGCTGAACTCTTACAACGATTTCCAAATAATTTACACTTGTTGACTGAGACAGCAAAGGTTAGGGGTGGCATCAACTACGATGCAAACAGAATTTCACCTGAATTTTTCATTTAATCATGACTGACGCTGATCGACATTTATTTCATTTGTATAGGTTGAAGCCATTATCGGGAAAAATGATGAGGCCATAATGAGATTTGAGAAGGTAGTCACCGCATCGATATTTTTGTCTCAACTCTCAACTACTTTAAAAATCATGCATAATCATCTAGATGCTTTTGTAGGTTCGGTCAATTGATCCTTACACAACAACCAGTATGGATGAGTATGCAATGCTGCTTCAGATAAAGTGTGATTATTCCAGGCTAAACAAGCTCGTCCACGATTTATTAAGCATTGATCATACCAGAGCAGAAGTATTTGTTGCTTTGTCTGTACTATGGGAAAGGAAAGATGCAAGGACGGCATTATCTTATGCTGAGAAGGTTAGCTTTTTTCTGACACTAAATTTTTGTGCCAAAATCTTTGTGTGATAGCTCATGATATTCACTATGCAATCAGAGTATCAGGGTAGACGAGAGGCACATACCCGGCTATATAATGAAGGTAAGCTAGTTTAACGAGGAGTTTATTTATTTTTAATAATTTTGCATATATTAACACTAAGTTTTTTTAATATATCAGGGAAATCTTCTTTTACAAGCAAAACGACCAGAAGCTGCAGCGATCGCCTTCAGGGCTGCCCAGAATTTGAGGTCCGATCTTCGTTCATATCAAGGTCTGGTTCACGAGGGAAAAAAATCTGATATACACTTCCACTGTTGTACTGTTTTGGTGGTATAAACCTTTAACAATCATGAAAAGGTTGGAGTGTGAATTAACTTGCACTATTGAGGTCATTTCAGGCTTAGTCCATTCTTATCTTGCATTTGGTAAAACCAAGGAAGCATTGTATACCGCCAGAGAAGCAATGAACGCAATGCCTCAATCCGCAAAGGCTCTGAAATTAGTTGGTGATGTTCATGCTAGTACATCAAGTGGCAGGGAAAAGGTACAAACATTCAGCTTTGTTATGCTTCCATGGATTTTGGCAATTTTCATTATATCAATATTCTACCCAGACTTTTCTACATCTTAAGCAGAAGCGGCGAAAGCTTTAGGGAGTTAGTTGCATATATTACTAAATATTGAAACTGGGAAAGTTCCTTAAGAAATTAACTGTTCAACTCTCAATTTTATAAGCATAATGTATACCAAATCTGAGAATCTATTCAGAGCTTGTGACTTGTGATCTTTTCAATATGGATAGAAATTTCTGGTGTAACAGTATAATGAATATGGTTTTATAACAGGCAAAAAAATTCTACGAGTCAGGTCTGAGGCTTGAACCTGGGTACCTTGGAGCTGCCTTAGCTCTGGCTGAGCTTCATCTAATGGAAGGGAGGAATGGAGATGCTGTATCACTACTTGAACGATATCTCAAAGACTGGGCTGACGATTCTCTCCATGTCAAGCTAGCTCAAGTGTTTGCTGCAACAAATATGCTACAAGATTCTTTATCACACTATCAAGCTGCATTAAGGTCTATGAAGTTCTAAACCAGTAGTGCCTATAGTTCTCGTTGTTTCTAAGCAAATCAAGAAACTATATAACAGAGTGTAAATAATGTAAATGCAGAATAAATCCACAGAATGAGGCAGCCAAAAAGGGTCTAGATCGCTTGGAGAAACAGATGAAGGTTTGTCAACCTAAATTTCAATCGTTTTTTTTTTGGTTGCTTCGACTTCGATGATCTTTAGTTCATTACAAAAATTGGGGTGATTATTGCAGGGAATAGACCCAGATGCAACAGATGAGAATGACGAGAACGATGTTGAAGATGTTGATGGAGACACCGAAGAAGCTGAGCTCATGTGAAGATATTCTTAGTAGACCAGAAGAGTGTGTAAACTGTAAAACTATCGAATCCTTAAACATTAATATTAATAGCAAATGTCATTCCTTTTGTTTCCTCTAATCAACTTAGAATATGAAAAGAAAAAAATGACCAATATTCTACAACATTGGATTTCGTGACGTGTAAATACGCCATTGGTTAAAACACACCAAGAGCACCCATCACCAAAGTCTCACGGAGAATCTCACCTCTTTCGTCACGCCAACACAATCTTCTCCGTCGTCAAAACCAAAGCTTTTTGCTTTTATCTTGATGGGTTTCATCTCTTGCATTTCATATCCGACGACCAATTCAAAAATTCTATC